CCACGGTGCCACCTGCTGCCTCCAGGGCTGCTTTTAATTTCTCTGCCTCTTCTTTGGATACGTTGGCCCGGATTTCCTGTGGAAGAGACTCCACTAGTTTCTTAGCCTGTTTCAAATAAAGAGGGCGGAGAAGAAAAAAACAATTAGTGAAATTAACAAATTTGTGCCCACCTGCATCACCTCACCACTCTTGAGAACATGCTGGGAGACATAGCAAACCTACTCATAACAGCACGAATGGATGTGTCATCCTGGATGAGCTGGACTGCATGTACTGTTTTATGCTACCAGCAGTGAGATTTTCATTTGCACCAAAGCAGCTGAAACTGATTCACAAAATAAATTGGACTGATTCTGCAGACTATTATGTAATAATATATGCATATTATTACCTCCAAAGCGTCATCTCATAAACATTTTATATCTCACATTCTAACACCGGCCCGTTAACACTGCTTTTTGCCAAAAGCTACAATAAGCCCGCTTAAATAGCTCCAACAGTGAGACTTACCTGCACCAGATTCAAGCCCTGGATGCAGTTTTTCACTTCCTTTATAAGCTTTACTTTTTCAGCAGCTTTCAATTCTGTCAATTTTACTGTAAAGTGAGTCTTCTCCTTCTTTGCTGGTGCCACCTCCTCCTCTGCAGCCTAGTTGCAAAAGGAACACAATCGAGGTCATTTAACTATGCGCACGGAGCCTCGTTGGCCACATCAACTATGAGTGGCTTTAAATTCTTAAGCTAGACATCTGAAAAAGAACAATAATGATGTATGTTGCTACTTAAGCCATTAATGATTTATAAGGCAGTCTTCAGAACTTCCCTTTAAAAACAATTATCAATACCTGAGCTACAGGAGCAGCTAATGTCGCCATCGCCCCCATCGGCATCATTCCGACACTCTCAATGTTCAGAGTTTTCTGTGGTAAAGACAAACAAGTTATCACTCAACATTTAACACAAACGGACAGCAAGAAGCTCAGACAAAGTGCACTGTGGTTTTAGGTTTCCCACAAACCTTGAGGAGTTCGTTGAGATCGGACACCTCTAACAAGGTGAGGCTGGCTATGTCACTGACAAGCCGCTGGATTTTGGGGGAATACTGTTTGGGGGCTCCATCTAGAGGAGGGGTGGCGATGGCATCTGAAGACGAGGCTGGACTGGTTTTCAGAAGTCTGACAGCACATAAGGCTGGTGTCTGCCGCTGAAGCTGTTGCCTGGGAAAGTGAAAAGCGATTAGCTAAACGGCAGACTGTATCCACAAATTCAGTATGGTGTGGATCACACCTGGCATCATCCACTGCCATATTTTGACTTCGTCTACTGCTTTACAAAACAATCCTTCTTACATTTAGAGTGCAGACTGCCTAACTTATGCATAATTAATGGTCTCAATTTGCAAACCAAATTTGCAAACCAAATAACCCCTCAAGCTTCTCACCGTGTAAAGACAGTAGCTATTACTATGAGATGGGTTTGCTTTCTTATTTCACCTGGAGGACACTTTTATGCTTATTGCTTTGCAGTTTAACAGCTCACAAACAAATTATGGTAATTTGGCAAGCAAAAAACCCTGAAATTCCAGTTTTGCATCAGCAAATAATGCTATACAAAAACACCACACCACAAAGGATTTGGCAGGATTCTGCAGGTACTGGCTAGCTTTGGTTGGAGAGTCACGCATCCCTGGTAAGAATAGTAAGAAGAGATTTGTTGTATGTTATATGCGAGATGGCACAAGAATGCAGAGCAGTAACGCTTAGGGCGGGCAGGACTGGTTGACATTATGGCAAGTACCTGTGAGCTAAGAAATCAACCATTATATTCTGGCAGTAAGGACAGATTTCAGGAATATTGTAGGTTTATTACAAAGGCACACTCTGCAACACGAATATCCAACTTGAAAACCTTTGGAACATGATCAAGTTTCATGTAAGCAGAATGTACAATAATAATATCAATTGAATTATAACCCTCACAGATGCAATTTATTTACCCGTTCTGTGTTACACCTTCCCTGTTGAGGTTACAATTGCATTATATAACAAAGGTTATATATCAGCTCAATCTTTGTTACCTATCATCGTTTAGCAACCTCGCTATTCTGTAATCAAAGAAAGTATGCAGACCTAGAAATGCACTGTGGAAGGGGGGCAGGAAGCTCAGTCCTGTTAGTAAAACTGACAGCATGGTGGTTCTTCATGCCTTCTCAAACATCTCAGACTTGGAATTTCACAATAACAGACCTCAGCTGAGCAGTTGCTCTTCATTGATTGCAGGGTTAGGGTTAGTCCCATTTGACCAGTGTAGGTAAGAAAAAAAAAGGTCAAAGCCATGCTTCTCTTAGATTTTTTTTAAGACGAAGCCATGAAGGTATACTGCGTTTTGTGTCATTAGTCGGACAGCAGGGCTCAATTGGTCACGTTGTTCAAGTTGAAGCCTGCGATGGAACCCTTAACGTCGGCTAACCTACTTAGCACACAGCCGCAAACCACTAAACTCATTTCTGTGCTCACACAACGCGCATCGTCTGTCTTTAGACGAATTAAAAAGACAACATCGTGTTCTCCATCCAAATTAAGCGGCAGCAGTGGCCGGCTCTCTGCCCTTGAAGCCGCAGACACTCGGATACAGGTGTACTCCGCCTGTTACGTACCGATGCGTGCTGGCTGCGGCTCGCAGCGCGGTGCGGAGGCAGCGGCTGGTGCAGAACATGCAGACGGTAAATGGAACCGGTGGTCCTCTCTCTGAGAAACAGACAAATTTATCACACACACGTCTCCTTCCAGCGGATCCTCTGCCTCAAAAGCACATGGCGTCCCCGCTACTCCTGACCTACCCACAATGCATTGCGTGAACTGTTAAAAAACCTCAATTCAACTGCTACGGGAGCCCACAAGGGACAATGAATGTGCGTGAGAGAGCGACAGAAAGAAAGTAAGTTTGAAATAATAATAATAATAATAATAATAATAATAATAATAATAATAATAATGTCCAGTCTCATCTTCCCATCTCTAGCATTATCACTTCAATGCCATGCAGTGACTCATAGTGCTCGATTATCTGTTTTTCCATCCAGGTGTCTTTACTGCATTGGCAGTGTGGTTGGGATCATTCTAATGCTCAAAAATTAAGCTGTTACAGTCACATGCTTTCCAGGTGGAATTGCATAGTGGATCAACATCTGAAGGGATTTTGCTGTGTTCAGAATTCATCAGCTTTGACATTATCCAAAACACCACTGGCTCAGATTCAGCCCGAAACCAGATCCAGATCCGAGGTCCTGTGTTTGGACTTTCTTAACAAGGCTTAACAAAAGAAAAGAAAAAAATAGTAAATGAGTGAAAAGTCAGAATTGGAGAATTATTGGTCAAGACCACTTTAAAAATGTAAAGTGGACTGGCTCCTTGCAAGCAAAGTAGAAAGAAATAAGAGGCAACTCAAGACTATAGCTGTCCTATTATTTGCTGTGCATGTGCATATGTCCTACCTGTAGCGTACCAATGCTGGGCACTTGGACACTGGGAAGGAGCATGAAGGAAATCCTCTTAACCAGGTAATCTCTCCACCCATCTGCTGCTACTGTCTTCCACCAACATGCCATTCCCTCCACTGGCCTTTATCGCCAGTGCAAATAAAAGGTAAGAAGCATCCGCTAAGAGAACAATGCAATGCATGGGAGTGCAATGCTAGATAAAAGAGGCACACATCTTTTCTTTTCTTTTTCCTTCAGGCCATGCTGCTGTCTCCTCAGGCTGAAAGGAACTGGGAGAGTGTTTGTTCAGTGCTCGAAGATGTGTTGGAGAGCCAGTCACACAGGCAGTTATTTGCTTTAGAGCTTGGTTCTGGAACTGGCCAGCATATCATACGGTTTGCTCAGAAGATGCCCTTTGTCATTTGGCAGCCATCAGACATCAAAGAGGATTCTCTAGAGAGGTTTGTGCCTTTCAGAAAGTGCTTGCCATGTTGACGTGTCAGTATAGTTATGTGTGACAGAAAGATTTACGAACATATTCCAGTTAAATCAATGATGTATTTAAACAAGTGATTTGTTGAAGTCTATGGATTTGACATTAAATCTAAAATGAAGCTCGCACACACCTTGTTGGCAGTATCAAGGCATATATTGCTGCAACCCAAGCAAAGACGGTGCTACCACCTGTTCACCTGGATGCCAGTGATCCGTGGGAGAAATGGGCAGGACTGAGTCACAACTCCTGTGACGTTATTATTTCCATTAATTTACTGCAATACAGCTCCTTCAAAACAGCCCAGGTAGGCCTGGTTGCTTATAAATCAACTGAAGAGATTGAGATAAATCCCCACAGTATTTTATTCACTTATCATTTTCTCAGGGAGTGTTCAGTGGAGCAGGACAGATCCTCAAACAAAACGGCCTTTTGATAACATATGGGGTACGTAATGATAGTTAATTACACTACAAATAAACCTGAACCTACTAACTGATGTCAAATTAAAACATTTCTCAGGTGTATGCTGTTAATGGCATCATCACACCAAGTTGTAATGAAAAGCTGGATGAGGAGCTACGAAAAATGTGAGTAGCAGCTATTTGGTAATATGTGTATGTGGTTGGCTGTTAGGATAAGATATGGACCATGTTTGGTTCTGCTGCATACAGGAATCCAGACTGGGGTCTTCCAGATATCGACGTGCTCAGACAGCTGGCCTATGGGAACGGGATGCGTATGGAGCGGATAGTAAGTCATGTATCTCGGCTTGGAGGCGATTCCACCTCCCAGCAGCATGTCTTTTACACTTGTAATGTTTCCTTCTTTTAGATTGAGATGGAAGAATACTACAAATGCCTCATCTTCAGAAAACTCTAAAGAAGCCAAAATACCAAAAGGACATTAATTAGTTCACATCAGTTATGAGTGTAAGTCTATAGTCTTTATATTTGTAAGACAATTCTGTAATCTGATAATGGATATAGTTGAATAAAAGCTTTAAAAAAAACCAAAAAAACCCTCCTCTGTGTGTGGTTACAAAATACAAGTCGAGGCACGTGGACAGTAAGAACCAGATATTTATTAAATATAATTTTAAAATTACTTCAAAGTCAGATCAGTATGTTGGAATAAAGAAGTTCACAGATGCCAACTGAAGAGTTACAGAAACCACTGATTGGGTGTGTGATACATACATGCAGCACATCATGTTTGCTCTGCAAGCTTTTCTTCACTTCTGGATACTCAAGTAGACTTTCGAAAGAGTGCCCACATGTACTCCCGATGCAGGCATCTGTATATGTGAAAACTACAACTAATAGAATGTAGGCTGGGACTCCTGGAGGAAACTTGCACTTTATTACAGGTTAAGTTCATATGCTTCTATTTTGTGATGGCACTTGATGTTCGGCAACACCAGTCGCTTTAACAGAAGGGATGCAAGATGCTATTAGAACTGCTGGACTGCTTTTAGTATGAATATTTTATTGTTACTAATTGTGGATTTTTAATGATTTAGTTAATTAAGTATAATTGATGAAGACGAAACAACCACCCAGCTAATTTTCTAAACAGTTTTCCCACAACGTGCCAATCCCTGCATCGTCTCTGAAACTATATTAACACACAGTTGAAGCAGCACACAACAAATAAATGCCCCCCCCCATTAAAAAAGAAGACTAATTTGTAATTATGAGAAGGGATGATATGAAAACTACTGCTTATGCATTAGTGAGATTTTTTCCAGGTGTCTGACTGTGCTGTCACTCTTCAGACATACCAACAGCATCTTAAACAGTGAATACAGATGTTTCTCAGTCACATCTTAAACTGTTAAAACACGTTGAAATAATTTGCTTCCATTCCAGAAAAGAACTGAAATTTCAACATGCAAATTTGGATTTAGAAAAATGTGAGACAAAGGATGGTTGCATCTTCTTCTCTCTCTCTCTTTTTTTTTTTTTTTTGTTTTTTTTATCTCCTAAATGGTCATATTTTCTGTAACTTTAATACCACTGACTATTTCTGCTCTTCAGTTATTCATTTAATAAGGAGATACTACATACATATCAGCTGGAAAGGAGGAGGAAGAGGGTGAAGGTTCTTGGTTATGGTGCTTCCCATTGCAGCTTCACCCCTCCTGATTTTTATACTTCAGCGGGGGAGAGGCAAGGAGAGCAACAGTTCTGCAACATCATCACAATATTTCACGTTGCCACAAAAATCACAGCGAGGTGGAAAGTGGGAATTATGTGTGTGTTTCCAGAGGGTATCCTCAGAGTCCAGAGAGGGAAGAAAAAGACCAAACAGGGAGAGGAGCTGTAGTGTGTTAGACCCAGCAGCGTGAGGCCCTTCAGTCGAAGGAGATGAGCTGTGCCTCTGCGCTGCCCGGCACGGCTTGAGGTGCCTGCTGCTGCGGCTGCTGAGGCTGTTGCTGCTGCTGCGGGGGGCCACCAGGGGGAGCAACCTAGCAGCATGAATGCACAAGTAAAAATAGGAAGATTAGCCAGGACTGACATTTAAATAACCTAAATAAAAATACCAAAGATAAAAATAAAGAAAGCTTTCATGCGTTAACTGTGAATGACAGTTGAACCAATTAACTTTTAGTCTGTCAGAAGCTTCAAATACATAAATATACAACTGACCTGCTGATACATGGGCTGCTGGCCTGGCATGTACTGCTGTTGGGGGGGCATATTGGGGTCCTGTCCCGGCAATGCTGAAATCATGTTCTGCATATTGTATGGCTGGTAACCCATATAACCCATACCGTTAGTGGGGGGTGCCTGGGACATGGGGGGCATACTCTGCGCCTGAGAGGCCACATTCTGCACAAAACACAGAGAACGGTGAGATGCATTCATCTTTAAACGTTTTTGTGGCATTTCATGTATTAATCAGAAAATTTAAGTGGAGCTTTGTCAGACCTGGTAACCCTGCGTAGGTGTGGGCTGATAGGTGGAGTAGGGTGGACTAGTTGTGGGTGGAGCCTGACCAGGCGGAGGAGCGGGCTGCCCATTAGTTCCTGGAGGTGGGTACATGTATGCATTAACCATATTGGGATCTGAAAGAAAGGGGGGGGGGGAACACAAAACATTGTAGTGAACGATTAAGATTTTAGATCATATCGCTAATTGTAACACCAGATGACCAAAGTTGGTAGATTTCTTGTCTTTTCAGCTGATCCTTTTTCTTGTGAACCTCCTCACCTGTGGTAGGACCAGGCATAGCCTGGTACTGTGCTGGTGCAGTCTGCCCTGGCTGATTCATATAGATGTTGTGCATAGGTGAACCCTCCACAGAACCAGCGGGGCTGAAAGTGCCTGGGTAGCTGGGCGGAGCACCGGGTTGGTATACCACCCCTCCCGCGACATTGGGGGGCAAAGACTGCATCTACATAACAGCAAATAAAGACAGCATTAAAATTTCACCAAAAGATTACAATGAACTTAAAAAAGTTCAAAAACATAAAAAGTCTCCCGCTGAAATCTAAAAAAATGTTTCATTAGCTGAAATTTATTCTTTAGGTTCATATATTTCTGCTATTATTGAGACATTTGGTTTCTGCAATATCAAGTGAATTTACTGACTAGATTATCCTTGGGTTGAGTTCAGTCTGAGGCCAGATGGAGTATAAAATGTGTACCTGGGCATAGGGAAGAGAGAAAGCAGGCATCTGGGCCCTCATCTGGATGGTGTGCTTCTGCTGCTCCAAACGCATCTGCCTCTCTTTCTCCTGCTCCTGGAGGCGCTGAATGGCCAACTGTCTTTGCATCTCCAGGTACTCCTGCGGTCCAAAGAAATACCTGTGAGCATGGTAATGGCCTATTATATCTGAACTCTCATTGAACAGATTCAGTTCAGTACCTGTTTCTTCTGCCTCATGATCTCCAGTTTTTGTGCCAGCTGGATCTGCCTCTGTCTTTCCGCTTCCTCTGCAGCGCG